CTAGTAGTTATAAAAATATTTAGATCGTTTCGACGTATTTTCCAAATTTGCCTTCAATTAAGTTATTTTTGAAATAAAAATTACGCTCAAGATCGCAGAATATTTTATCTTTAAAAGTTGGTTTATTCTGAAAGCACACCTCTTGCTAAGGTAGCAAATTATTCGTAATTGTTTGTTGAATACAACACATACTTAAAAAGTTCTTAGAATTAAATGCTTCAAAAACTATACGCGATAAACCGAAAATGTTGAAAATGGTGAAATGTGGAATTACAGACTTTGAGTTACTTGCCATTTCGTTATTTTTTAATGCACAGTTTTCTTACCTACTACATATGAAGTATACACATAAATGCTAAATGCCCATTAAATTTCAAATCAGAATATGGTGTGCTCCAAAAGTTATGACATAATTAATTTTGCCCCTCTTAAAAATTACATAAAAAATTCACTTGTTTTCATTGATTTTTTAAAATTTAAACACCTATATATAATTCAAAGGCTATGCAGCAAATTGATCCAAATTTTTTTCGAGGATTCAAGTATACGTCAATGAATTATATCCAAAAGCAAACAGCTTGATATAGTTTTCAACAGTGAAAATAAAGCTAAATAACACCAAGGTTACCTGTTTTTTAGATTTGCCCATATACATACAAGATATACGGCTTTTATTTTTTTCGCGATAGACTTTTCGCTGGAATCGCCCATATTCAACGCAATTAATACAAAAACAGGTATAACAGTAGTTTTATTAGTTAGTGTATATAAACACGAAGAAAAAACTTTTACATTCACCGTAGCTAAGCCCTACTCATTGATTTATAAATTTTTATTTTTTTTTGAGTTGATCGCACTTTAGATCTACATACATAAGAGTGGATATAAAAAAAATATTAGGGGTATTCTCCGAGTCTTGCAAAGCCCTTGCATGGTGCACAGCAAGGCGAATTTATATAAGGTGGTGTTATTAGCTCAGCTGATTTTGTGTATGCGTTTCGCCGCACGGCTTCTGATATCAAATTGAAAAATTTTGTTTGAATTTCTACACATACTCTTACAGATTTTGACAGTTTATGCCGCCAAAGCAAAAACAAAATACATGTAAATTTTTGTTTTTGTACTCCTGCTATCACCTTATATCAATTCGCCTTGGTGCACAGATTGCACGGTTAAAACCGGTTTTCGTATGGGACAGCTTTGCAAACCGTGCAATCCGTGCACCGTGCAAGGGCTTTGCAAGACTCGGAGAATACCCCTATTGTGTATTGCAATATTTTTATTTTTATTTTTTTTTGTGTATTGCAAACATAAATACTAGAGGAATTTCGTTCCCACGACAGTCGGGTCTACGTAACCGGAACGACCCAGATTTATATCTGGCCAAGGACTGTTACTCCAGCAACACTCCCCAAAACTCTATGGGGAACTTGTATGCTGCTAAAACAACAACAACTAGAGGAATTTAGTAAAGAAATTAGCTAAACCGATATTCTTACCAGTTTGTCAGCATTCTGCACCAAGCCTTTGAATAGAGGAAGCACAGGACGAAATTTTTCCTGTATGTCACAAAGTAGAAACAGTGTTTTCTTCGGGTTTAAAAAACGGAGACGTCGCGCCATATTCCCGATAGTGAAAAAGCCGCAACAAAATTCTGTTTATATCTGCAATAAAGATTGTAAACAGTTGATGATCCAATTAATAACTCCTTATGCTTATGATATAACAGATCCAGTCGGGGTTGCCTTTACTATAATGCATTATTCTCTTTATTATATGAATCGAAAGCTTTGGTGAAACTTGATGATAATCTCGGAGCTAGCTGGCACTAGATTGATTTGCTTCACGATTATTTTCAAAGTTTTCCACAGCGGCTATCCCGTAGGAGTCCAAACTTATCAGAAGTCGTGGGTACAATGTAGTTATTTGCCCATCATTACGGGCTATTGCGACCAAATCGCTGAACTGATTAAAAACTTGTAGCAAGGGTCTAAACTTTGTTTTAAAATATAATTTTGTAATTTTCAGTCACTAATTTTTCAATAAAATCGGTTTGAAATATGAACTTTCTTACCCCCATTTTCAACAGGTGTATGTTAAATGGTTCGAGGGATCAGGTATGACTTGATTTACAAAATTTGTTGGTCGATTACAGATTACAACCGAGCTTCAGTTGGGTGGTCAACGGCTGAAATGGTATTACAGATGGCAACTGGCGACTGAAAGCTGACATTTGAGTTACTTTATTCGCAACTGCACTTTTGTGGTCGCCGCGGAAATTTTGATTGATAATTTATTTCTTTTTCAACTGCTTCTTCAGCTTATTTACACTCAAGTCTTAGTTGCTGGTTCTTCAAAATTTTATTACCTTCAACTTTATAGAACTTAACTATAGTCGCTATTCATAATATATATTTTCCTATCAGTGGGGTTGACTATCGGCAATCCAACTGCGGATGCGTTGCCATCCATAATCGACCCATTGAACTGTGTTTTTTTTAGTGAGTGGTTTGATAGAGCCACGCTCCTTCCGCACAAGTTCTGCAAAGTTCGGACTCGTACTGGATCGCAACTCATATGAATTCCCCTTGCGTTAGCTCATCATTCGCAATCGCAGGCTTCGAATGGTAGATTATGCTAAATTCAACTTTCCAACTGGTGTTATCCCATAAAACAATTATACTAGCCATAATTACACATGGAATGAATGAATACGAACACTTTTTGCAAGCTTGCTGCAAATAAAATTACTTTTAACGCTCGAATTCTATCCCTGCAAGAACATTGACTATCATTTGACAAATCATTTGAGTAGCAACCCTGCAAGAACAGTGACTATCATTTGACAAATCATTTGAGTGGCAAGGCTGATAGAGATTTCTGTCACTGCCCTGCAAGAACAGTGACCATCATTTGACAAATCATTTGACTGGCAAGGCTGATAGAGATTTCTGTCACTGGCTACCTACAAGTTTCTATCACATTCTAAAGGGCAGTGTGAAAAA